TATGAGGAAGAAGGAAGACGGGAAATGGATGACAGACCATGACAACGTCTGAGAATGTGCCTTGAAGTAGGATGCTGAGTAAATTCCATCTCTAGGTTTCGTGGAGGAAACATATCCTTCCAAAGGATTAAGAATTGGCTGGTACCTTTGCCAATTAGACCTCCAGAATGTTCCGTAGATCTTAAATACTTAGGATTGTATCACCACTACTCATCCTTGCTTTTTTATCTAGTTTAGGTTTTACATATCTATAAAGCAATTGGTTTAGCTTTGCTTGTTTTTGTATTTTATAGAATTTTAAATGACTTTATTTGATGTCTCACTAAGAAAAAAATATCTATTAACTAAGTCATGACCCAGTGCTAAGAAGTCATCAATTGTAAGACAACAAATTTCAACATTGTTAAAAAATGTAAAAAAAAAAAAAAAAATGTGCATCTTAAAAAGGATGAAATACAATACATGGAATTATCTTGTATGATTACTTTTGTGTCGTGCTTTTTTGGCTTAACATCATGTTGGTAATTCATCCAAGTTTTTTATAGCTCAAGTTTGTTTAATGCATGAATATACCACATTTTTTATCCACTCTATTGTTGATGGATATTTGAGTTGTCGGTTTTCGACTCACGTAAAGAATGCTGCTATGAACATTCTTGTTCATGTCTCCTGGTGCACATGGGCATAAGTTTCTCTATATACCCAATAGTGGATTTGCTGGGCCATAGGACAAGCCAATTTTCATCTTTTCTGGGTAATGCCAAATGCCAAACTGCTTTTCCAAATGCTTCTTCCTGTTTTTACTCCCACTAACAATGGAGAAAGTTCCTATTAATCTATATCCTCACCAAGGCTTGGAATTATCTCTTTTTTTGTTTTTATCCATCTGATAAGTCAGTAGTGTTATCTTATTGAACTCTAATTTGTACTTCCTTTATACTAATGTGGTTGAGCACCTTTCAACTAGTCTCATTTGGATTTCCTCATTTGTTCGGGTTTTTTGCCCATTTTCTATTTTGTTGTCTTTTTCTTCTTGAATTGTAGGAATTCCTTATGTATTCTGGATATAAGCCTTTTTTTTGGTTTTATGTTTTGCAAATATCTTTTTCCATTGTGTGGCTTATCTTTTCACTCTTCTCATTGTGTATTTTGATGAATTGAAGTTCATATTTTAAATGTAGTTGAATCCATGCATAGGGGAGGCAAAACTTGACTTCTACCCTCTTAGGGTCTTTTGCTGGACTGAGAATTAAATTAACATAAACAGATGAACAAGAGAAAGGCATACAGATTTTCACCTGTGCATGGGAGCCCCCATAGGAAAGTGAAGACCCAAAGAAGCAGTTAGAGCTGAACACTTATATACTAAGTTGGACAAAGAGTAGTAAATTGTGAAAAGGTGATGAGACAAGGGCTTGGGACAGACCAGTTAATTGTAGCAAAGTGATTATGAAGATAAGGTTTAGTTTAACAAGATTTGTTTGTATAGAGTTTCCTCATTGTTGATTCTCATCCCTGGTGATAAGAATGTTTCTTTCCTCCTGGTATAGGAAATACATATTTCACATCTTTCAAGGTACCAATTATTGTCCTGAGCACTTTGACACATGTGTTTTCATTCCTTTTCATCTTTTGACTCTAGGAGATTCAGAAAACATTGGAAATAGTACCATTATATGCAAAGCATAGGAGGAAATGGAATTTTCCTTTTTCTCCATAATTTCAAAAACTCAGCTTTCATATTGTATTTCCAGAAAGATGAGCCTAGGGCGGACTCCTCTAAGTGTAGCAAGGGAGGGGCTTTGGTGGAGGGTTATGTATGGCAGGAAAAGGAAGGAACAGATTGGAGTAACGGAAAATGGAATACACAGTTAACGTAGAAAATGACTCAGGTTTTCAGCTTAAGTGATGAAGTGGATGGGATGCCATTCACTGACGGATGGAGCAGGGAGAGCCATAGAACACAAATTCAGGACTCTAACTGAAGTAACAGAAACCCACTGTTTTTACCCACTTGCAACTAGTTTAAGATAAAAAAGGGGAGTCAGGGGGGCCGGCCCAGTGGCGCAAGCGGTTGAGTGCATGCTCTGCTGCAGTGACCCAGGGTTCGCCGGTTCAGATCCCGGGTGCGCACCAACACACTGCTTGGCAAGCCATGCTGTGGCGGCCTCCCATATAAAGTGGAGGAAGATGGGCACAGATGTTAGCCCAGGGCCAGTCTTCCTCAGCAAAAAGACGAGGATTGGCAGATGTTAGCACAGGGCTGATCTCCTCACAAAAAAAAAGGGCGGGGGGAGTTAGGGCAATTTAATGGCTCATAAAAACGAAAGACCAGGGATGGATTGGTTTAGGGCACAGCTATGCCCAGGAAGGCAAATGACATCATCCCTTCCCTTTCTCTCAATTTCTGTTTCTTTCTGCTGTGGTCTTCATTTTCTCCTATTGCTCATGGTTTTCTCCTCATAGCTAAGGAAGACCATTTACATTGTCCTTTAAGGTCATAATCCCAGAGAAATAGATTAAGAGGAAACATCTCCTAGGATAGACTGGCAGAAATTTCCAGAAAAGTTCTGATTGGCCTGGTTTGTGTCACATGCCCACCCAGATCTGCCTGACTCAGAACTCATACTCTTCACCACTACTGACTACTATCTTAGCACTAGCCTTTTTTTTCAGTCTGTCTTCCTAGATTCTAAACTCCTCAAGGGCAAAGAATCATTTATTTTTTACCCTGACCATCTAGCACTGTGCTTGGCACATGGTATTGGATGCTTTAAAAAATGTGTGTTGGACTGAACTGAAATAGATCTAAACTCGGACGTGTAAACTGAGTTAACTCAGTATCTCGAAAGCACAGCTAAGTAGTATAACAAGAAAACACAAGATGGATGAATTAAAGGGTGGAAAAACTGTGGAACACTTACGCATGGTTTCTGTGAAGGCAAACTAGTACCCAACTAGTCTACAAGAGTTCTCTGAATGTGCAGATAGACAAAAGGACAAAGTGGGACCAACAGATCTTATTTGGCTTTTCAAAAAGCCTTTGATAGATTTCCACATCAAAGGCTTTAGAAAAATGGCGTTACTCTAGAATTTTAGAATGCTATTTTGTTGGTATTTTTTTAATTTTGTTTTCCAAATTGTGTCTAGGAACCAGAACCAAAGTCAAGCAATGAAGGTTAGGAATAAATGAGAAAGTGTAAATAGTGGGGACTGATCTTATTTAACATTTAATAAACTATCAAGAGGTGGTATGGACAATGGAATGTTTAGTTTGCATATAACAGCTCTTTTAGTTAATGCAATATTTAACTGATGAAGACAAAGGCAAAATAATGGAAAATAACGATAGGTGGCTTGAGTTTAGATAAAATTCAATTATGCATTTAGGGGAAGTATAACAGTATAGGAGAATAGGAGGTGGGCACCCAGAGCCAATTCTTTGCTCCAACTAGATGGGCCTATTTCTCTTGTACTTCCTCACTTTTCCATGCAGTTCATGTCTACTGTCCACACCTGTGTGCTCAGCTGAAGAGAACCTTACCAGCTAGAGGAGACCCTTTTTCAGACAAGGGAATACTATAATCTCTGCTACAATCTCCAAACCTTCAAGGATTGGGTCCGGGGAGACACCTGGAGCAAAAGGGAAAAAAATGAATACAAGTTGGAAAGAAATGTCTTTTCAAGGAAGTAAAAAGGTGATGAACATGCACAAGAGAGATATAACAAATCTGAAGCAAGTCCAGAGAAAAGCAACGATCATATTCAAAGAGATAAAGTCCTTCCTTTGAAGGACGTCAAAAAAACTTAAATCCTCCAACCAAATACAAAATGTATAAAATAATAAAGGACAAAGAGATGGTTAAAAATATAACAAAATTCGAAATTGCTCTTATCCTTTCAAGCTTAGAGGTAGTTTGAGAACAACAAAAAGACTCAGCATGACTTAGAAAACTTGTTTCTCAAAGGCAAGTAGAGATTGAAAATGCAAATACTTTAAAGAGGGTTTTAAATAAATTCCCAGAGGACAGATACATCATGTATTGCTAAGGCCTGTCGGAGAACTTTAAGGACTGTGAGGTGTAATGTGCCTGGCGACTAGGGCCAGAATGTCTGGATTCTAGTCTTGGCTTGCCTACTTAATGGTGCATGTGCGCCCCTGGGCAAACGACTTAGTATTTCTGAACCTATTTCCTTAGCCGTAAAACGGCGATAATAATACCTGTCCCGGCTACCTCAAAGTGTGATTTTGGTGTTCAAACGAAGCCATGTATTTACTGGTGTTTTGAGAACTATAAGGTGCTCCATAAATATAAGGTATTTTTGTTACTGCATCGCTGAAATTATTGCAAACTCCCAGACAAGGGGCATCTAGGGAAGAGCGATTTGGCTCTCCTCTGTGGCGACTGTGTGCTTTCCTCAACTCTTGTCCCTCGTTTATGGGGGTATCTTGTTGAGGAAAACTTTTGAGCGTCTGTAAGATTTTTTTTAACGCACTACAACTAGCAAGGTGGTGTCCGTAAAAATACCACGCAGACAGGGCTTAAGATAAGCTGCCAAGAAGACACCGAAACGCCAAGACCGTCAGAAAGGACTTCTCCGCGGAAACGCAGTCTTTTCTGTGAGAATGATACACTGTGCGCGATCAGAATGCCGGCCGCCGAATGGAAACATGAACTGGTAGAACTGGTCATCTAGTAACGTAGTTATTATAATTCCATTCTGATACATTTAATGATTTGTCACAAGTCCCTGGAACAAGCAGAACGCTGCAACGAGCTTTATACTCCGAGAGTCCAGCGCCGCGCTCCCGGGAGTGAAGCGGGAATAATGCGCGCGCACTCGGCTCGGACTGCTCCCGGGTCCCGCGAACGCGCCTCCGCGGCCCGGCCCGGCGCGCGCGCTGCTGGCGGCCCACGTGACCCCGGGCGCGGCGACGGCGGGCGAACGGGTGCTCGGGCCGGCTCCGCAGCGCCGCGCAGGCGCCCCAGGGCCGCGCCGAGCCGAGCCCCTCCTGCTGCCTCTAGGAGTCAAAATGGCGGCGAGGGGAACCTGGAGCAACCCCGGAGCCTGAGCCACTGACAGGAGCGGAGAGGGTGGCGGCGGCGGCAGGAGGAGGATGGCCGGGGGTGCTGGCGCCGGTGCGGACGGCGGTGCTGGCGGCGGCGGCAGGGGCGACGGCCGCGGTCCCAGCGGCGGCAGCAGCAGCAGCGGCGGGAGGAGCCTCCGGGGTGAGTGTCTCTCGGTGTCTCCGAGGCTGGGAGCCGAGGCTGTGCCCGGCGCGGCGCGGGGCGTCCCGGCGAGGAACGGGCTGTGCCTGGGCGGGGGGCGCCGGGCTGGGGCCGGGCCGCCGGCGGGGAAGGGGCGGTCGTCCGTCTGGGGCTGAGGCGGCGGGGGGGTACTGACCGGTCCCCGTGCGCTCCGAGTGGCGGGCTGGGCTGGGCTGGGCGCCGCCGTCCCGGGGGCCGAGGCGCGAGGTGTGGCGCTCGGGGCGGGGAGAGCGGCCCGAGGTGGCCGCGGCGGCGGCCGGGCCGGCTCCGGGCTTCGGCTCCAAGGGGCGGGACCCGCCGCTCCCAGGACGCCGGGGAACCGCTCCCGAGACTCGGGCGCGTGTTTACCCGGCTGCGGGGCTGCGACCGCCCCGGGGTGGGCGTGAGAGCGGCCGGCCGGAATGGGGGAGGGACTGGTCTGGGGACGGCTGCACCCAGGGAGAGAAGTTCGAGTGTCCTTGTAAGTTACTGTTTCGGGATCGAACTGGAATTGCGTTTGACAGGTTGGGAGGGAGACAATACCGAGTGTTCGATAAAGGAGTCTGTGCGTGGGGTACTCGAATGGCAAAAAACGTGTATTTTTCAATGTCTTTTCATTTGCACGGCTGTTTACTAACCTTACCCCGTGGATGAGAACTTTCTCACCGTCTTTTTGGAGAAGCTGTGAGGAGTGTAGCTTTTGCTTTGAACTACAATAGCACCTCTTCGCATACCAGCACAGATGATAAGTACTCTGGGTTAGGCCTAATTTACAGAAGCAGTCTGGGTTATCGTCACCAGAGAACTGTTCCCTTTGCTAAAACATCATATTGTAACGAGGAAATAGGCATTTTTACAGAATTACTTAGTTTTTTTCAGCTAACAGAATCTTTTGTCTCTGAGGAGCATCCATTTCTATTAGCTTGCTGAAATAAATTGCTTTCTTCCGGAAATGTGGACGAAAGATTTGCAATTTTAAGAATCATACGTGTTAATGGCACTGTGATTACACTTGTCCTGGAATTTTGGGGTCAGCAAGACCTTTAGAGATCCGGTGTGACTTGTTTTAGAGCCGGTTAACTAGGCCCAGGGAGATGAGTGATTTACTACGGGCCCTACAGCTGGCCAGAGATTGGACCAAAACTAGGATCTAGGCCTCTCTACGCCCCATTTAGAGAGCTCTTTTCACTACACTCCTGAGCCTCTCATTCTTCACTGATTGCCTTCTTCATCACCAATACCCGTTGCCATCCCTGGGTCTTTTGCAATAAAGTTGAAAGCAGAAATGAGAGAGAGCGCCTCACTGTGATTCTGACAGCTACTGTCAGTTACCACAAGTAACCGATGTAGTTTTTTTTCCCCCTAATTTAATAAAAACTGACTTACATTTCATTTAGAATTTTCATAGGCCTGTGACTACTTTTTCACCCAATTATAGCATGGCTCATTCTTGCACGCATTCAGTAAAACCGGTAGGTCAATATTCTGTCCCACAAAACCTAACTACAATATTGTTCTGTGCCCCACCACCAGCATTTAACCAAGTTCTTTGAACCAGACTCTAATTTTAGGATTTAAAACACCTCTGTTGTGTTTGCCAGGTTATACCACCATGTATCTTTTTGTTGAGTCACAGCACTTTTCTATGTTGTGTGTCACAGGTTAACCTTCAGAAAAACAATAATGTCAAATGATTGATTTCACATTCTAGTCAGTGAAACACACACCAAAGTTGTACCTTGTGTTCAGTTACACAGGGGGTTATTGAAGATCCACTTTGTCTTTTGCATTATACTCAGTGCTACAGGAGAAAAGAAAGAAGTGTAATATATAGACTTTGCCCTCAGGAAAGATAAGATGTACCCCTTTGCGTCTAGGAGACAACCTAGTAAGTTCTACCAATACAAAGAATGCTGTAGGTGTTCTGGTTAGACGGAGATGAGTGAGGCCTCAGGAGTCTAAAGAACTTCCTGGAACACTTGGGACTGAGCTAGCCTATGAGGGTTTAGATTTACAGAGAGATTGGAGCAGTCACTTGGTGAAGTAAAAGCAAGAGTATAATGTGGAGATTAGCTTTGGGGGAGGGAAACAGAGGGAAACTAGGATGAGCCCACTGCTGAATTTCTTTGGGAGACTAAAAGGAAAACATTAGACAGTTGGAAGGATATCTGTTTGTAGAAGACTGTGAGTACTGGATTGAGGAGATTTGGAATTTTATCCTCTTGTGCAAGATATGGGGAGCCTTTGAAAATCTGGAGGCCAGACATTAATGTGATAAACCAGCAAGATGAACCTGTCAGTGATCTGCAGGTTGGGTTAGAATGAGGAGAGAATGGAATGAACCAGGGACGACAGTAGCTGTTGAAGTTACCTGGATATGAAGAGATGAGATCCTAGACTAGTATAGAGTCAGTTGGGAGAATGCATAGCAGATGTTATTTTTGGTTTTGGTTTTATTTTGGTAAAATATATATAACATAAAATTTGCCATTTTAACCGGTTTTAATTGTACAGTTCTGTGGCATTAAGTACATTCACATTGTCGTGCAACCATCACCACCATCCATCTCCAGAATTCTTTTCATCTTCCCTAACTGAAACTCTGTACCTATTAAATACTAACTCCCCATTTCTTTTTACACCCAGCCCCTGGCAACCACCAATCCACTTTCTGTCTCTATGAATTTGCCTACTCTAGGTACCTCATATAAGTGGAATCAAACAGTATTTGTCCTTTTGTGACTAACTTGTTTCGCTTAGCATAATGTCTTCAAGGTTCATCCATGTTGCAGCATTTGTCAGAATTTCCTTCATTCTTAAGGCTGAATGATATTCTATTATATATCTGTACTACATTTTGTTCATCCATTTATCTGTCCATGGACACTTGGGTTGCTTCCACCTTTTGGCTATTGTGAATAATGTGGTATGAAGATGGTTGTACAAATATCTGTTTGAGTCTATGCTTTCATTTCTTTTAGGTGTATATCCAGAAAATTTTACATTCCCACCAGCAATACACAAGGTTCCAATTTCTCTACATCCTTGCCAATACTTGTTAATTTCTGTTATTTTGATATTAGCCACCCTAATGGGTGTGAAGTGGTATCTCGTAGTTTTGATTTGCATTTCCCTAATGATTAGTGATGTTAGCATCTCTTCTTGTGCTTATCAGCCTTTTGTATATCTTCTTTGGAGAAATATCTAAGTTCTTTGCACATTTTTTAATCAAGTTGTTTGCTTTATTGTTGTTGAGTTGTAGGAGTTCTTTATGTATTCTGTATATCAGTCCCTTATCAGATATATGATTTGCAAATATTTTCTGCCATTTCATGCATTGCCTTTTCACTCTGTTGAATGTCCTTTGATGCACAAAAGTTTTTAATTTTGATGAAGTCCAACTTAAATAGTTTTTCTTTTCTTGCTTATACTTTTGGTGTTACATCCAAGAAATCCTTGCCAAATCCAACGTCATAAAGCTTTCTGCCTTTAAAACTCTTCTAAGAGTTTTTCCTCTTAAAAAACTCTTACATTTAGGTCTTTGCATGTGGATATCCAGTTTTCCCAGCACGATTTGTTGAAAGGACTGTCTTTTTTCCATTGAATGGTCTTGACATCCTTATCAAAAACCACTTGATCATACATATGAGGGTTTATTTCTGAACTCTCTGTTCTATCTGTTCCATTGGTCTCTAGGTCTGTCTTCATGCCAATACCACACTGTTTTGATTACTGTAGCTTTATAGTAAGTTTTGAAATCAGGATGTGTGAGACCTCCAACATTGTTCTTTTTCAAGGTTGTTTTGACTATTTGGGGTCCCTGAGATTCCATGTGAATTTTAGGATGGATTTTTCTATTTCTGCACAAAATGTCATTGGGATTTTTTTGATAAGGATTGCATTGAATCTGTAGATTGTTTGGAATAATAGTGTTGACATGTTGATATTCAGTCTTCTAGTCCGTGAATACCAATGTCTTTCCATTTATTTGTGTCTTTAATTTCTTCCCACAATGTTTTGTAGTTTACGGTGTAAAAGTCTCATCTCCTTGGTTAAGTTTATTCCTAAGTATTTTATTCTTTTTGATACTATTGTAAGTGGGATTCATTTCTGAATTTCCTTTTTGGATTGTTCACTGTTGGTGTATAGAAGACACTCATTTTTGTGCGTTGATTTTGTATCATGCAACTTTACTGAATTCATTTATCAATTCTAACAGGTGTTTTTTGTATGTGGAATCTTTAGAGTTTTCTACGTATAAGACAATGTTGTCTTTAAACAAAGATAATTTTACTTCTGCCTTTCCAATTTGAATGCCTTTTATTTCTTTTTCTTGCCTAATTGCTGTGGCTAGGACTTCCAGTACTATATTGAATAGAAGTGACAAAAATGTACATCCTTGTCTTGTGTCTGACATCCTTGTCTTGTGTCTGATGTTAGAGGAAAAGCTTTCAGTCTTTGACCCTTGAGTATGATGTTAGCTGTGGGATTTTCATATATGACCTTTATTACATTGATATAATTTGCTTATATTCTTGGTTTGTTGAGTGTTTTAGCAGGTATGTTTGAAGAAAAACAATTCAGTTATGAGTGTTGAGATAGTGAACATTATGTTAAGGTTGGAATAAATAGGAATCACTTTAATCCAATACACAGAACATCTTTTAAATTACAGGATTCAAAAAAGTCCCCGTTTTTGAGCATTATTGGAGTTTTTAGATATAGTTTTGATGTAATAGAACACTGGACTAGAAATCAAACCTCCGTTCAGATTCTGACTACTTTTTATAGTTTTGTGTTCTTAAGCAAGCCATTTAACCTGTCTGAGGCTTAATTTTCCTCATCTGTAAAAAAAAAAAAAAAGTATATATGTATATATATGCACACATGCACATACATACATACATACATACAGCAATATTTTGCATAGCAGTTTTGTCACCTTCTAAGTATTTTTTATTCCATCCTTTCCCTCCTTGTTA